AGCCCCGGTGCGGTTGCCATTGTGTGCGTCGGAGGGGGTGCGGGAGGAGCGGTTCCGTTGCTCGCTGGATCGCTCATCGGATCGGCTGCTTCGCGTCCTCCTGGTCCCTCGCGACGGCCCGGCTCAGTTGCGGCTGAATCCCATCCTCGTCGCCACTGTTATGTAGTGGGTAGCCGCATGGACGAACGACAGACAACGACGTGGTGCATAGCACGCTTTATTGGCACACAACAAGACATGTGGATAAACGGCCGGCAGGCCAACTATATACACACCTGGGGACCGCCCCTGGTCACCATTGGTGGGTTCAAATCTCCCGCCACGGATCCCATTGGTTCCCCAGTGGAGGGACTAGGATCCTAGTCCCCATTGTTGTTTCAGCCTGAAGCTTGGGCATGTGTGCTGACCTCCGGTGGCGGTCAGCGGACACTACAAGGGCTGGAAAGTTACTTTTAAAAAAATGAAAATTTGAAACAAGTAAACTGCTGCAATAAATCGCTATTATTGATTCCTTTTAAAGCCTAAGAAAAGCCCTTTGGAAGGCACAAGGGGCAATGGCAGCCATGGGGAGGCTGAGGAAAGGAAAGAACAGAGCAAAATTCCATGTGGACACTTTATTGCCCCTGCAAAGGCCTCTGAATTCACAGAGCAGCAACAACAGCTACACAGAATCATCATCATGTGGAAGCACCCCAAGTCAGACTGACAATGGTATACATTTCACACCTGAAATCTGTGGTGCTTCTGCAATGAAGTTGTAAAAATGGCCATAGAACAACTGAAAAGGTGTAGGAATAAAATTGCCTGGGAGAACACTGTCTGGATTCTCAGAAACAGCCTAGTGAATGAAGGATGTCTGCACTGAAGAAAAAGGCCACCGAGAACCTGTTGGGTACAAACTGGAAATGTTTAATCACTAATGTATTTTGTAAAACAGGCTACAGATAAGCAAAAAGCAAAGCTTCAGGGACTATGTGGGGAAATCAATGACAAACAATAGATTTAAACCATATGAAGGCCCTGCAGATTTCCTTAAATATCTCAGCAATGCAAGAAAGGCTAAGCTACCAAATTCTCATTCCAAAACTCCTATCTATGTCGTTGGATCAGCAGTTTTCACTGTCTGCCGAAGCCCCGATTGTTGTCGATGGCCTGGAGGAGTTTCTCCTTCAGTCTTCCTACTATGGAATAAGGAGGCAGAAGTAGAAGACTATAGCAGGTCAGAGCCTCGGGGATGTGATCTTCTGAAAGTGCGTTGTGCAACTGAATAGTTAGCTTCATGGACTCCATTCCCGTTATAGGGACCCGATCAGTTCCTGTGACAAACACTGAAGGCCGAAGACACAGATTAGGCAACACTCATAAGCCAAGTCAGAAAACATTTCGACAGTTCCAAGTCTGTTGAACATACTTTGCCCAGGGAACTTAAATAAGGTTGCCAATCTCCAGGTGGTAGCTGGAGATCTCCTGCTATTGCAACTGATCTCCAGGTGACAGACATCAGTTCGCCTGGAGAAAATGGCTGCTTTGGGAGGTTGATTCTGTAGCACTATACCCCATTGAAGTCCCTCCCCCCCAAATCCTACCCTGCCCCTCCCCCTGCTCCCTCCCCCCCAAATCTCCAGGTATTTCCCAGCCTGGAGCTGCCAACCCCAAACTCAACCCACAATGGGGTACAATGTATGAGCCGGACAGTGCCACATAATCTCTACTAACAAAAATGTATGAACGAAGGAATCACACTGATGAAGTCAACTGCATGACTTTGTCCAATCCCTCCACATTTTCCCCAGTGAAATTTTATTTATTTTATTGATTTATGTTGTTTATAGTCCACCTCACTTGGACTCGAGGCTAGTTACTCAGAGTGAGTCAATATAATTGACTGGATGGGACATTCAGTAAAGAATATGATAGGATTAGGGTTGTGGAACCAATCAGAAATCTAAAAACAGACCTGAAGCAAAGCATTAACGCGACATTTTAAAAGATGCCAGGATTACATAGCAGGATCCCAGTTTCGGCAAGCTGAACACAGTAGTATAGACCACAGCCCCTAATAATTTACCCAAGTAACTGAATCATTTCACACTGCAAATGAGATCACGCTACAAGGATGACGCTCCCATAACACTTTGGATGCATGCGAAAGGCAGATGTCCAAAAGCAGAGTGGTTTAGAGTGGATGGTATAGGAACTCCTCAGAACAAATGCCATGTAGTACACATTCATATGTCACAACCAAATGACATCTTAGCTGGGGGGAATGACCGCCTAGATGTATTTGATGGACCGTCGGATTAGGACTTTGGAGCCCCAAGTTAAACCCCCACTTGTTTCAGCCACGAAGCTTGCTGAGTGATTCTGGGGCAAATTTACTGTCTCTCAGTATGATCTACCTTTGAGGGTTGTTGTGAGAATAGAATGGAGCAGCAGCTTGCCAACAGTAATACTGCTCTGATCAAAAGCCTGCCAGATTATGAGGACCTCACCACCCCGTCCATAGTGAGAGACTGTTATCTCTAAGCCTAACGGCCATTCTGTGAAGCAGGCTGTAAAGATAAAATGAGGCGGGGGAGCCATGTATTACCCCCCCCCCCCAACTCTTGGGAGGAAAGGCAAGATTTTTTTTAAAAAAACAACAAACCCTATTAATACTTACATAGAAAGCCTTTTTTGTCGGCCAAAGTTAGCTCATGGAAAACCTGCCAGAACATCTTGATGGTAGGGTGTGTTGGACTACATCTATCACAGTAAACAGCATTCTTGAAAAGAAGGGGGGGAGGGACACATAAGATGTGAGTGGAACTTTACAGATGCAATAACGAGTGATCCTAGTCAAAGCGGTGGCGGCACCAACCTTTTCGTAGACGTCCCAGTCGTAATTCGCATGCCCAACGGCCACGTCCATCAGCTCCTGGGGCATGAAGAGGCCGACGACCCGTTTGTCCAGGACTTTATAAAAACCCCTCATGAACTCTTCGAAAACTCCCTCCACGGATGTGTTGAAGATATAATCTACATACTTGCTGACAAAGTCCTTCCTTTGAAGAAATAGAAAGACTGTAGTCGGCTTCTGAGAAAGAAAGTCTCGCCTCTTAAAAAACGAAAACTTGGATTCGTGAAATTCAGTCAGGACCTCCCTGAAAAGTCACAGAGCAGCACGCCAACTTGACTGCTCACCAGTTTTGTACTAATTGAAACCCACGTACCTTCGGGACCGTCTCCTCCAATATGTCCCCCCAAAGAACGCTGAGATCAGCTCGTAACAACCTGCTGGGTATCCCCGGCTCTAAGGAGGTCCGGTTGTCCTCTACTAGGGCCAGAGTTTTTTTGGTGGAACTCTCTGCCGAATGACATCATGGCCCTGCGGGATCTGGTGTAATTCCGCAGGGCCTGTAAGGCAGAGATGTTCCGCCAGGCTTTTAGTTGAGGGCAGCAACGGGAGTTTAAGACTGGCACCCTCCTTTTTCTTTCTATGGCCCCCACGTACCCTTCCCCGCCCTGCCGTGTGGGACAACAGTGTGGCCGGTAAAGGGAGGACTGTTATATTGCTATCTGGATCGGTTTTAAATTATATAATTACTGATTATATTTTAAATGTTTTTTACAATGATTGTAAATTGCCCAGGGCCCAATTGTGGGGTGGGCGATCCATAAATTTAATGAAATAAATAAATAGAAAAAGAAGAGATTGGATTTATTCCCTGCCCTTCACTACCCAAAGGAGTCTCAGAGGGGCTTACAATCTCCTTTCCCTTCCCCTCCCCACAACAG